ATGTTGAAGGTTCATGTATAGTGAATCTGCACATGTAAGGCAACTCTTTAAGTCTCTGTTACTTGGAATGCAGCTTGTCTCTTCCTGCAGTGAATAAAATGGTGATGGGGTATAAAAATGCAGACATTTCTCAGGCTAACAAATAAACTATGTCTTACCTTCTTGGAAAAGAAAGATGAGTTATTCTGAAAAAAAGGATTGCTTTTTCTTCCTTTTTTTTTTTTCTTGTCTAGAACAACAGTTATCCTTAGTAATGATATAAAAGCACATCTAAAATGATTGCATTATTGGGCCAAGCCACATGTTTGACATCACACCAAAACCGTATTGGGCATAATCACAGGAAACGCCTCTCTAGCTGATGCTAGCAGGAAGTGTTAGGCAGCTGGTGTTTCATCCCATGTGGATGGCTAAGATTGTGAGAGGGAGAATCTGGAAAAATACTCTATTGAATTCCATTTTTTTTTTTTTTTGCAGTTCCATTATTTGTTTTTTAGGATGGGGTTTTTTTTTTGGTTTAGTGACTGAAATAATTAAGATCCTGAAACTGTCTCATATGAAGGATGGCACACACAGCAACTGTTATGCCTCCTCATTACGCTGAAGCATTTGTTTGAAGTCTGGTATTCACTGAGATGAATACCGTGCATGAAGCAGTCACTGTTTCATCCTGAGTACATATTCCTTAATCTTGACATCCTCCTTTCAAAGACAGGCAGTCACTGTTTCTTCCTGAGTACATATTCCTTAGTCTTGACATCTCCCTTTCAAAGAGTGACCCTGCCTTGACTGGAGATCAGCAAGATTTGACCCAGACAACTTGGGAGAATTCCAGTGTGATGTCTGAGCCTTTTGCTGAAAATTAGATGTCTGCAAGTGTACAATTGTTACTACACCGTATAGCACGGCTCATAAAGGTGCAAAGTATGAAGTTGGAAAATATTAATATTGTAGGATCTTCCTTTGGCATGCTGCTTATGATTAACTTCCCAAACGTTATTAAACTGCCATCATCCCTCTGGCTGTCAACTTAGATGCTAGGTGCTGTATTTGTACTGTTTGCAACAAGCATGTTTGGATAGGAAGTTTAAGTGAATCTAATACAAGTGTCCATGTTGTTGTAAAATAGCTTTTTATCTAATATTTTTATTTGTTTCTTTAAAATTGCAATGGGCGATACACATCAAATAAAATGTGGGGTGGTTTTTTTTTTTAGATATTGAGATGTATTTGTAAATGAATGAAATATGAAGTTTACCTTTGTGTGAATGGAATTGCTGAGCTTAATTTAGCAATTCCAAAATGTGTTCTTGTCAGTAAAATTTAGTGTGGGGGGGTGTAAATAAGTAAAATATTGTCTGTGCGGATATATTTAAAACATCTTCATGTGTCCTCATGTTCTTGCTGCTTTTACATTTGATTTAGATAATCCTGTGCTAATGTTTAATTTAATATATTTAAAGCACAAGAAGGTACTGCATGGTCTCTTTGTTTTTTGTATTGCTTTATGGTTGGGATATCTTTCACCTTTTTAGCTTCCTTTTAATTTAAAATGCTTCTATTTCCACAAGTGAAAGTGAAAAATAGTAACCTGCTATTAATTGCTAGTGTATAAATCATAGAACAGTTAGGGTTGGAAAGGACCTTAGGATCATCTACTTCCAACCCCCTTGCCATGGACAGGGACACTTCACACTAGACCATGTCCCTGCCAGGCAGCCAGCTTGTTTTGTTAGTGATCATAGGAATTAAGTAAATTTAAAAAGGGCATTTCTTTGACAATAAGAGCTGTAACATTTCAGTGGAGAAAAGAAAGAGATCTATTAGTTGCTTACATAAAAAAATATAGGAAGGCCAGGAGTGGGAGGAAAACATAATTAATTTATGAAAATATGAAGTGGAAAACTATAGTAATGTCCATTACCTTTGTGATGTTGCTAGAATTTTTTTTAAATGTTTTAATTTAATGACTGAAAACTTGCTGATGTTACGTTCCATGTTTGCTTTTGACCAATAAAGTTTGAATGGTTTCACACATGAATTCTGAGTATAATCTGCTTTTATGTTTTACTTTCTCTCTTAAAAAGTTTCACAATTAAAAATGCACTTGCTTTTAAAAGTAAAATGGGCTTTAAAATTATTGCCTCTCATCTTCCTAAAGCCTTAGAAAGGTGGATACTGCTCTTTCTACTTTACAAACAGAAGCTTGGTGGAAAGATAAAGGTTTTTTTAAGAAGCAGGAAATCTGAGATAGTTCTAGGAATCGTCAGTCTTCCTTTTCCTAGGAAAGTGGGCCCAAATTATCCTTACTTGACTGCAGGGGAGAAGGGGAAAGGGGGATATTTTTACCATGTAAAGTTGCAGTAAACTTAAATCTGAATTCCCGTTCAATGTGTTCCTCTACAAACATGAAATAAGAGGGTACCTATTCTCAGACTTTTTTCTCAAGGGGGAATGGACATAGGAGTGGCAAATTTCATCTTGCATCTCTATAATGTGGGCCCTGGTAAGTATGGTTTTGTCACTGCAGCCTTTTAGGTCCTTCTTCCAAAACCAGCAGGTCTTAGCAGGATCAAGAATCATTTGGTATTACAGATGTTTCAGATCAAGCTGCTGGCAAATAGATATATTTCTGTAAAATCAGAAGGAATTAGTTACCCTTATGGTGGCTGCAGGAAGACAACAGTAGCTGATCCACTCTAAAGGCAGCATGATGCAGGCAAGTACCTTCATCAGCAGGGTTTACTCATAGGCCTACTGCATTTTTAACACTGTGTTTAGAGCTGGCTGTAACGGGTGGAGAAATAAGTGTGCATTCATAGGCTTGTTTTTCACATTAACAGTAGCACCTGTCCCCCACTCTCTAACTTATCACTATGTTTTCTGGTGTTGCCTTGATGATGGTGGGTGCCATGAACCAGAAGTGAAGGGCATGTGTGGGGTTTGCCTATAAATGAAAAGCCATGGGCAGCTGCTCTGCCAAACCAGCCCCCCACCATGGACTGCAAGTTCTGCAAGCACATTGGCAAGCATGCGGCAGCATTTATTAATATGAGCTCAACTATAGAACTTCGGAGCTGCATTTGACTCTTTGGCCAAGGCTGTGATCAGGAAGGTGTGCTCTTACTTGTCTTCTGGGGTTCCAGGTTTCTTACTTCAGATAGTATTAATGATGAATAAAAGCAGAAGAAATACTCCTTTAAAATTCAATTTCCTAACAAATGAGCCTGCTGGAGATGCTTTAAAATCTCCCAAAAGTGTGTGAAAAGTGAACTTATTTAAAATGGGTTCAGACTTTACTGTGCATGTTATTTCAGAAAGGACAGTTAGATAATATTAAAATTATTTTGTTATATGTTATTTTAAAGGACCATAATTCTATAGAAAAATGTATTTGAGTGTAGAAATAAGTAGGCAAAATGAAGTGCTGTCATCAGTAGGACACTGATTTACCTTTTTTGTTGGGTTCAAACAAAAAAGGTTGGGCTGGATTCCCTCAACTTTTAGATACGTTATTGCCCTTCCATAATGGCAGCTACACCGGCTTTTTTCACTAGGAGCTGTGCTGCTATGAATTATGTGTCATAAATACACTGGACATCTCAAAAGCTGCAGTGTTGCTTGCCTTGTTCTGCTTCTAGGCTTGAATTTAAACATGTCCTCTCTGTCTCCTTCACAGTTAAAGATCTTATATTTCCATATTTTGTAGCTTCATCATTATAACATTTGTCTCCAAAATATCAGCTGTTGTGATAGCTTTTCTCAAAAAGCATCTTAATGCAAGGTGGGAAAACAAGCAGACCTGACAAATCAGTGACATTTCTATGTCTGTGTCTGGAACGCTGCATCTGGATTTGCTTTTGTGCAGTATTGCAAGGTTGAGAGCTAAAATACAAATGAAGGCACTAAATGAAGAAAAATGTTAAGGATAATTGGATTAAAGCAGGGATTTCTGTACAGTATATGACTGTGTGTGGCAAGGGGGAAGTAATTAAGTCTATTTTAAGTTATTTAAATTCTGGATGGCCAATGGTCTTCAGGCATGCGAAGAATGATGCAGATCATTAGGTTTGCATAATGGTGTCATTAATTGTTTCAAAAATAATCTAAATCTGTATTTATCTGCTACCATCAGAAGCTGTAGATGTGCATTAGAGTTCATTAATTCAGCTGTGGGCACCTTTTGAAATTAAATAACTTTGAGAATAGTTTCAGTAAAAGGCTTGGAACGAGTACAAGTTCAGATGGAGAACAGCTGTGGTTTACTGTATAGATATGAGCCTGTTCACAGAGGAAATAAGGCCATGCAGAAGCAGACTGTAGTCCTGGAGAGAGCCCTGCAGTGTGTGTGTGTGTGTGTGCTCCCAGTTGTGAGATGAAACATCCTGAGGCATAATGTTTTCCAGTTTTCTGGTAGCCCTCTTATTCCCTTTATCTCTTATAATAGTGCTGTGTGAATTACAGTCTTTTTATTTTTTTTTTTTTTTTTGTGTTGTAATTTTCATTGCCTGTTTCGCTGGTTAGATTTGGCTAAGCAGTTGTCGAGAAGGATGCTTCTGCATCAGTGCCGGAGGCTGTTAACGACCTGAAAGCTCTCAGCGTGGGCTGACAGAGGAAGTCTTCCCGTAGGTTGTAATCACTTAGTGCTATGGGGGGCTAAAGTTCAGTTACATAGATTTCACTATAATACTCTTGTGTTAGTGGTACTAAAGGAGTAATTGCCACTTCGCCTCATTGCTGGTGACTTTTCTTTAGGGAAGAGAGAGAAGAAGAACCTGCTGAGTGACCTCTGCATGTTACCATGTATTGCCTGTGCTCTGTGCTTTCACCTCCCTCCTATCAAATCTTGATTATCAGCATTTTGAGAGAGATTTTTTTCAACTTCTTTAATTGCAGTGCCAGCTAAGTTCTGCTTTCTTAAAATGTTCTTTCAAGTTTGTGATGCGAGTTTGTATTTGTAGCATTAACAAAGCCATGTTATTTGTTTTGTTCTCATCTAGGTGCTCGAACTGGGTTTTGATTTCTCATCCTATGGATCACTGAATGAATAACAGATGGCCTTGCCTCGTCTTACAGGCGCTTTACGCTCCTTTTCAAATGTCACTAAACATGAGGATTACAGTGAAGAATTAGCTGACTTAAGGGTAAAGATTTTTTTATTTTCCAAAGTGTAATTGTAAAGCATTAGTGTGTAAATAAAAACTTTTTGCTTTCTTCATTTGCACTGCTATTTTGTAAGAGCAGGCAAGCAAAACTGGCAATGTGTGCATAGTTTCCTGTGCATTCCTTCATAGTGTCCTCGCTCAAAGTCAAATTGGCTGTAACTTTGTGATTTATGCTAGGTCCTTACAATCATGATGTGCTTTATGGATAGAGTTGCTTGGCTGTGTTCACTGGCTGGGCTGGTATTTTTGTAGTTCTGAGCTTATGCAGAGCTGAGGAGCCAAATGCTTGCCATTCAATATGAAGTTCACCTTGGACTCTTGTTGGGGAATGCTTAGAATAAATTTAGTGATACTGAATTAAGGTACTTCTTCCTCTCACATTCCCCATCTCCCCTCCCCCCCCCCCCAAAAAAAAAAAAAAAAGGCAATATAGCAATAGATGTATTGTGGTAACCTGAAATGTAAAATGGATTTGGAATCTTGGGAGCTATAAATCTCTTGAAGTTGCAAATATTTGGCTTTACAGAGAATTCTTCCTTGGAAAGAATAGGGTAGTGAGAAGGATGTGTATGTCTTCCTTGTTCCTTACACTTAGGAAAGAGTGTAAAGAACAGGTAACAAGGAAACTGCTTGTAATTGTTACTACATTCTGACTAAATGCAGTTGGAGAGAGATGTTTCTATCTGGTGTTTAAAGGAACCCCTATATAGTAATTTGAAATAAATGGAAGTATCTTTCATTTTCAGACTAAAAGATCAAAGCTGCACGCACAGTTGCTGAAGTCTGATCTTACTTGGAAGAAGATAATAAAGTTTGTTGATGACAATTTGGGCAAAAAAGAGCACCAAACTGTAAATGGTGATTTAAAAGCTATATTACAAGCTGCACAACAAATAGGTACGTTTTCATTCTCTTGTATAACAGTATACTGTTGGGTTTGTTTTTTTGCAGGTTTGTGTGGGGGTGGTTCAAGCTGCTTTCAAGTTGCATACTTTGCAGACTGGTACAATTCTAGTTCTGCCTTTATGCCAGGCTTGCCCTGAAATTCCTTTCAAACTCCAGTTAATCTGATACTTATATGCACAATTTTGTCTTCTGATTTATTTTAAAGTATGACTGTGTTGTTACATGGATATTCTTGCTTTTTGATAGCATTGTTTTCTGGTGTGCGGTATGGTTTGTGATCAACCTTTAGTAAGCAAAAGCAACAGTGGCAGTACTCTTGAGAAAAGAACAGTTGGTGTTACCTGCTTTAATTCCGCATGATTGTTATAATGAAAAATTGGACTGCTACATAGGCAGATAAAAATGTAAGATATACTTTCTGCTAGAAATGTTAGCTGCTGAGGAGAGAAATAAATAATAAATTTCACTCATCTGGAATTAAGCTTTTAAAACTGAAATACATTATGGTAAAGAAAGTGTGAAAACTTAGTTTTGATTGGAAACTTGGTTTTTGATCATCAGACTGAAACTAATTCAGCTTGCCCTGTTAGCAGAATTTAACATTTATAAGCAAAATAAGTATTTGCCATTCTTAGCTGCAAATGCTATCTTTGAAAATAATTTGGCAGATTTGTTTTCTGTATTAATGACAGACACAAGTATCAGCTGTGTATTTTTTATTTTTTCTTTTAATTTTCACTTTTTGCCGAAGATGGCTGCAAAAAGGTTCTGTTTTCTTTTTTCATTCTGCACTTCACCTCCCCTTCTCTCTGCATCCTTCCCTTCCCTTTCTCTACCCCCAGGCTTGCTTTAATAGCACACCCAGTATGGTGCTTGGGTAGAGCAAATTATAAGACTTTAATAGTGGTAAATTTTTGTTTCACGGAGTGGAGAGGACAAAAGAAATGAAAGCAAATGTGCAATTATTTAGTTAGAACAAGTTAGAAAGAAGCTATCAGCTTTGAGATGTCCAGATAAAGATGTGGAATGTTACAGAGACACAAACCAGTACAGTTTACAGTGACCAAGGCCCAGACTGAACTGACAGTAATGGTCCAGCCATCATCAACAGAAACATATAGTAGGGAAAGGGAATTAGCTTGTATGCCTTTTTACTTGAATTTCAAGGAAATTAAATATCAGCCTAGGCATCAGATGCTGTAGTACTGATTTATTTTACAGGGGAAATGTCACTTACAGAAATGGTCTGATTGGCTTAAAATAAAAAAGGAAGGAGTAGCTTGAAGTAGTGCATCTCCTGCCAAGTTGGGTGGCTTATTATATTTGGGGGGGGGGGGGGGGTGTAAGTATTTTCTCAAGAGCTGATTCCATGAACTGGAGTCAACGACAATAGGTTTATTATGTGCTAATTCTGATTTAAGAGCCTTTTCTCAAATCCTTCAGTAGAATTGCTCTTTTAGTAGCGTGTACTTGTGTTTTGACATAAGTGACTTTAAATAATGATGCATGTTTGTATGTCAGGAATATAAGCATGAGGTTCATACAGCCAAACTTAGGTCTACGCATTTTTAGATGTTGGGCTTTTTTTTCTCTCTGTGATTCCTATATAGCTAATACTGAGAAGGAGGCTGAACTATCTTCTTCCTTTGAGATATATTTACATATATATTGTATATGTGTGTATCTTTATGTCACTTATCTTCCATATGTAGGTATCTAATTATCCTGTAAAAAAAATACCACCTCCCATCCTCTCCAGGAAAATTTCAGCTTTTCAAAGTGCACCATAGGGAAATTCAAGAGAAATACTGAATTTTTAGTCAACTCCATTTATATGTTTCTAATTACTCAGTCTTGTTCCATCTGCTTATGCTGGATTTCTTTTGCTCTAACCTAATGTAAATTGAATAAAGTCACAAGTAATAGTTTCAGAGTAATTAAGAATCTTCCCACTGATTTCAGGATGTTTTTTAACATGGAGAAAATAGGGGACATAATAGAGCAAATACACAGACCCATAACTGAATAGCAGAGGTATACAGAGGCAGGCAAAAGACTGACTTTTTGATTACTGAACAGAGAATAGCCACATTTAGTATGGCAGAAGTGTCATTTAGGAGGCTTAAAAAAAGAATAGTATTGTTCCTTTTAAAATAAATAGTATTTTAAATAGTTCTTTTGAATTAGTTATACCAGGGGTTACTCAATGAGTGTTATCACTTAAATCTCATTGTTTTCTGCTGAAGTTCTGCCAGTTGATGTAACTAAAGAATTGACCACATAAAGACGTCTTGGCTATAGCGACTTGTAAATTTCCACAGTAAACTTTTAAGATGTTTTTAAAATTATGCAATCTTGTAAGAAATGCTAATTCTACTAAAATTGTTGGAGTGACAGAAAAACCCAAACAGTATTCTGGCTGGTTTTGTGTAGTTTATGTTTGATGACTTTTCAAATTTTGTTTAGTAGTGACATTTTGGTTTATCAAATGGTGGGTTTTCTTGAGCCCCTTTGGGTATATTTGTGTAAGAGGTGAATTCACAGTTTTTTTTTTTTGTTTTGTTTTTTTTTTATCATAATATGATACTTTGTAGATATAAATCTAAATGAATGCAATTATTCGCTTTAATTTCTTTGAGCAATTTTTGTAACTAATACACAATCTGTGGTAATTATACTGTAGTAATTCCTAGCTGAGTTCTGCATGTTTAGTCTGTTATGAATATTCAAACTAGGCAATGAATAAACAGTTGGGCAAAGTGAAAATTTTTTACCTTTAATAAGCAAATAAATATATTGTTGTGAGTTTTAAGACCTCAGGCAAGTTTTTGCTTTAACTCAGAAAAATAAGAAAGCATTGGTAATCCTTAACATGAATTTCTAGTAAGTGGAAGGATAATGAAGACAGATGCTTTGTTATTATATATCTTTTATAATTCAGTACCTTGCAACAATTGTTACTTGTATGGTCTTCCTTTCATATCTCTGTTGATGAGACTTGCAGCAAGAAATTTGATACACTTATTTTATGGTCAATAAAAAGAATTAATTTGAATTGTATAAAGTTACATTTGGTTTTGGTTTTGTTAACAGTTGGAGCTGAAAATGGACAAGAAGCGATTGAAAGTGGAGCTGTTTTTCTATTTAAGACATTTCACAAGAAAGAATGTGTTGGCCACGATGAGACAAAGGCAATCAAGCAGATGTTTGGGCCATTTCCATCGTCATCTGCTACTGCAGCTTGTAATGCCACATGTCGGATTGCTTCTCACTTCACTGAAGAACAGCTTACAGCCCTCATACAGATGGCTGAAGAGCAAAGTGATGAAAACAGAGTGGTCTTTGGTAAAAATATAGTGTTTTCATTTGACATGCATGATTTGGATCACTCTGAGGAGCTGCCTGTGAATGGCGAGGCCGACGCACAGAATACTATAAGCTTAGATTATAACAAATTTGTGAATAACCAGCTGAATCACTTGCAGAATTACTGTGGTGAGAAATCTGATCTCAAGTCTTTGGAAAAAGTAGATGATTCTTTCTTATGGAGTGAAGTCGGAAAGTATCTGAATGAATCTCAAGGGGGTACCCATGGAGGGCCAACAACAGAAGACCTCTGCTGTACTTTGTATGAGATGCTTGCTTCTACCAAAAGTGGCGATGAACTTCAAAATGAGGTACAGTAGCATATTAACCATACTGTGTGTATTTGATTGTTGCAGAAATATACAATTATTTCATGTTGTATTATGCCAGTGTACATTATCCATGTGTCATCTGTGCTTTTTTCTTTTCTTTTCTACATGGCAGCATCTTAATTTGCCAGACAGAAGATTTGTGCAGCAAGAATTTTAAGTGAATAGTCTTCTTTTTCTCTGTAACAGACAGGCTATTACTATTTGCTCAGCTTCTCCATTCTTCCTTTTTAAGCAGTAACCGATTTAAGCTACCATATAAAAGTGTGAGAACTTGCAAAGCCAAACAGAAGTTAACTTTCTTAGGTAGGTTCCATCTCCAGTCTCAGAGCTTTCTCGTTGCTGAAATGAAAGCTGAGGGATTGTGCAGGTGATACTACTTTAAAACTTTGTTGTATCAGTTCTGTTTCTTTTGATAAGGAAAGGGGGTGGGTTTATTACAAGAAGGGCAGAGAAAGCTTGAGGGAGAGAGAAGAGTTGAAGGATAAGCACAGTGGCAGAAAGGAGAAGCATGATTGGCGGCTGGTGAAGAGGCTTTCAAAGCATGTGCAGGAGGGATAATGGGGTTAATGTAGGCAAGAGAAGATTGGTTTTGAGTGGGGTTGGGAAGGAATTCCTGCAGTTTCCTAATTGCTTCCTGTGTGCTTTTATGTTAATGTTTTTTTTCCTAACTTGCCCTGCTTTCTTTCCCTGAAAACATCCAGAACTCAGATTTTCAAATTGACTTTTCAGAATAAATTTAGAAAATTTGCTATAAATATACAACTTATGGTAGGAATAGACAATCCTGTGAAAAAACGTGTAATGAAAATTTACTAGAATTTTTTATGTCGTAGTTGCAGGTTTTGCTCTTCTTAATAAAAATAGTAAGTGATAGAGAAGAAGACCTGAATATTTCATTTTAGGTTTAGATAACTAAGTATTGTTATCTGTTGCTACTGCCATGCTCTTGTTTCATTTGGTAGTCATTAGACTGCATTTTGGCTGTTCTTTTGAGCTATTATCTGCCATGATTTTTCAAATATGATGGACAGTGGCTTAGCAACTTTATTTACCAGGTCCTTCAGGACCCATGGATGGATTTCATCAGGTCCCATGAACGGATTTCATCAGGTCCCATGGACTTGTGCACATTCAGGTTCTTAAGATGGTCTCAAGCCAGATGCTTTCCTACAGTGGGCCTAAGGTCTTCATTCTCACAGTCCCTGCATCTGCCTTCCAAGACTTCGGTGGTGTGGTCAGAGCATTTGCCAGTGAAGACTGAGGCAAAGAAGTCATTAAGAACCTCAGCCTTCTCCAAATCCAGGGTAGCCAGTTCTCCTGATAGCTTCTGGAGAGGGCTCACATTGTCCCTAGTCTTTTATTTGCAATGTACCTATAGAATCCCTTCCTGTTATCTTTCACATCTGTAGCCAAGTTTAATTCTAAGTGGGCCTTAGCTTTCCTAATCTGGTCCCTAGCTTCCCACACACCATCCCTGTATTCTTCGCAGGCCGCCTGTCCTTGCTTCCACCTTTTATAAGCCCCTTTTTTCTCTCTAAGTTTCCTCAGCAGCTCCTTATCCATCCAAGGAGGTCTCCTGACCCTCCTGCTGCGCTTCCTTCTAGTTGGGACGCAATACTCCTGAGCTTGTGGCAGGTGATCCTTGAATATCAACCAACAGTCTTGGGCCCCCATGCCCTCTAGGGCTATATCCCATGGAACCTTAATAAGCAGGCTCCTGAAGGGGCCAAAGTCTGCTCTAGGTACACAATATAGGTACACAATATAAAGGGATGCTGATCTAATTTCTACTGCATTAAAATGTATGTTAAAAAACAACACTTGCATGTATGTTTGCAGTTTCACATTTTGGGGTGGTTGTATGAAAATAGAAGACTGAAGAGGTCTTGGAGAAGGAGATTAGATAAGAGTATACATTTTTTAAAAAGTACCCTAATTTCCCATAGGGACCTGAAGTTTATTAATTGTACAGATATCAAGATTTTTTTTTTTTTCCTAGAGCAGCAAAAGACTTTTGAGATATAGTTACAACGTATGCAGGAATAATTACACACTTCTGCCTAATGCTTATAATGCCTAATGAATGCCTAAATTTAATTTGTAAAATGTTAAAGAAATGCTTGAAGCTTTTCACTTGAAACAAGAAGAAAAATCTTTAGTTTTATTTTGCAACTTTATGTTCATAATGGGTTGCTCTATCAATTGGCAGGAAATTTAAGCAATCAGTTTTTATTTAGATCACCAATAAAGACTGCTTTTCCTTTGTTTTTTTGGAATACGGACTTTCTGGCAAAATTTCTATTTTCATGGCTCTGCAGGAGTTTTAATTTGATAATATGAAAAAATTGTTTACTCTGCCAGTTATCTGAAGATTATTAAGCAAGAGTAAATACTTTTCTTTGCTTTTAACTAGGAAAAAAAAGGATTCCTTCCCTTGAGTGTCTGAAACCTTATTTTGGATTTTTTAGGAAATCTGAGTAATAAAAATATAAATTTTCTCCCTGTTCTCCTTATTTTGGCTCCCACGTTGCCTTTTCTTGGAACAGTCTTATTAATTCATTGTTCATTATACAATGTGGAGGCCAAGGACAGGGTAAGACTATTTGAACCTGATCACCCTTTGTTAAAAGCTGGCTGGCATTTGTATTGTGCTGTCTGTAGGAGTAGTCATGACTTGAAAATGTCTTCTGGGCTTTGGATTTTACCATCACTTAGGGATTATTATTATTTTTTTTATTCCAGCAGTTTTGCTAGTGGCATCATTAAGAACAGATGGTGCTTTTAAACCTGAAGATAACCCAATTCTAAAACTAGGTCATAGGTTTGCAGTACGAGATGGTATAACAAGCATGCGATTGATCATGCATACTGAAAATCTTACATTAACTGGGATGATGCATATAAGATTCTATGCTTTATGAAATTCTATTTTGCTTTAGAACCCAAGAAAAAACCCTTATTGATACTAAAGGATAATCCTCTGTAAATAAAAATCCAGATCTGTAAAATACATTTTCATATTTTAAAACAGTGGCCACTTCTATTTAGGAAAATACCACTGCCTGTTTAAACAAGAACAGAATACACTGGTGGTGAGGATGTTGGCGAGTGGACTTCTCTAAGATAATTTAATTTGATTCACAACAAAAGTATATTAAGGTTCCAGATCACATTAAGAATTTAAGGGTTTTTAGGTGATTTGAGAGGTGACACCATCCAGGGGGGAGTTGTAGTGTATGTATAGGTACACATATGTATGCTATTCAGATTTTTACCTACTTAATGAACTGTATAATGAATGAAAATGAGTTTCTTTCTCCAGCACTGTATAGGTTATGTTTAAAGTGGTTGGTGAGGTAGAAGAAATACTTTGTTTTCACTATTTAAGAATATTCCACTCTTCCTTTGGGAGAATTTGTTTATCTGGAACATCACTGGTGACTCTTAATTAGAGGAATATTGATTCTCATGCTTGGAGTGATGTGGGAATTATAATTTAATTGAAGAGTATTTAGGACATGTGCTTTTCATTGGGAGCATAACATCTACTAAAGCTAAATGACAGCTACTGGAACATGCTTTTCACTGTATGTTAGATTTTGTGATACATACGAAATGGTAATGTTGCGGTAACAAAACCATTATATAAAAACAGGAAGAAAAAGCTGATGACAAACTATAGAGTTTTGCCCAATAACCATCATGGGGTTTTTATTATTATTTTCATTAAAACTTAGCATGTAGTGCCTTCCTCAGTCCGAGTACTCAGTTTTTAAGTAAGTGACGCTTTCAGGTGAAGACTAGAGGCATCTTGAGAGCATTTTAGCAACTTTGCCATCTAACCCCTCCCAGAAGAAGTAGGAAAAAGTTTGAGAAATTTAGTTCCTCTTTGGTTACACCATGCTGTTCTCAGAGGGTGTGAGTCTTTCTTCTGTGAACATAGTTTATCTGCAAAATTTTTTTGAATTTTATTTTGGAGATACCTATCTCTATTTTTACACTGATGCAGAGGTTCATTAATCCTTTATCATAACAAAACAGGCAGAAATTTTCTGTAGAGATAAAATAACTAAAAGAAAAAAAGGAAATGCAGTCAGAATTGTGTTAAGATCTTGTTTATCCTGCATATACAAAAATTCTGAAAAATTGTGCAATTTATAAATCTCAGACTAAGGAAAGAACTTTACCCAAATAAAATTAAGAAACATTAACGTAATTCAGGGTATTAGATTAAATAGTGCTTCCCAGACAAAATCACAGTAAATGCTGAGCAGGCTATGATGTGAAACAGCAGCAGCGTTTAAAAACAAATTAACATTGTAAGTAGTAACTTGCATATTATGTGAGTAGTACATGTTTACTTATCCTATAGGCCAATAAATGTATATAAAGATAATGCACAAGAAGTTTACTGCTTGGGCTTCTTTCATGTGCTTTATAGTTGTTATATCTCTAGCTCTCTGCATTAAAACGTAATATGCATAAGTACTTGAACTATAGCATCCAGGGTTTCCATCAGTTAAATACATTCCAGCTGTATTGCAGGCTGTCATGGTGGGAAACAAACACTCCTTTTTGCTTCATTTCTAAGAATAATTAATTATTCATCATTCCTACCAAAAAAGTAAAATACGTCTTCTTCTTTGTTATCATAAGCACCTGAGAACATTCAGGTAATGAAAACTACAGTTGGAGACCAAAAGGTAGTAATGCGGAGTTTGAAGGTGCTGAATCCTTCCTTCAAGGGTCAGAAACATTCCTTTCAAACCAAAGCAGAGCTGAAATCAGAAAAGTACACATTGTGGAATATAGGCTTTATATGATGGGAAAAAAAAAACAAACCCAAAAGAGGCCAGCAGTTGGGCAGCGCATCTTCCTGTATGTATTCTTTAGTAGATGCATACAATAATATACTCACCATTAGAGCCAGAAGGTTACAGCTTTATGAAATTCAGTTTTCTTCATAGTTATTTCAGAAT